CCAATCCATGAGCATGGGAGATCTTTCCATCTTCTGAGGTGTACTTCAATTTCTTTATTCAAAGACTTGAAATTCTTGCCATACAGATATCTTGCTTGTTTGGTTAGAGTCACACCAAGATATTTTATATTGTTCGTGACTGTTGCTGTTATTGTGTGAGGTACAATGTGTGCTTTGAGCTTTAGTAAAGTTTCTTTTATGAATGGCAATGCCCTTGTATTTAAAGCATAGATGTTCAGAATTGAGATTTCATTTTGGTATATTTTTCCTTTGATGAGTATGAAGTGTTCTTCCTTATCTTTTTTGATAACTTTTGGTTGAAAGTCAATTTTATTCAAAATTAGAATGGCTACCCAAGCTTGTTTCTTGGGACCATTTGCTTGGAAAATTGTTTTCCAGACTTTTACTGTGAAGTACTGTCTGTCTTTGTCACTGAAGTGCACTTCCTGTATGCAGCAGAATGCTGGGTCCTGTTTATGTATCCAGTCTGTTAGTCTATGTCTTTACTGGGGAATTGAGTCCATTGATATTGAGATGTATTAAGAAATAGTTATTGTTGCTTCCTGTTATTTTTGTTGTTAGAGATGTAGAATTATATTTGTATGGCTATCTTCTTTTGGGTTTGTTGAAACAAGATTAATTTCTTGCTTTTTCTAGGGTGTAGTTTCTCTCTTTATGTTACGTTTTCCATTTATTATCTTTTCTAGGGCTGGGTTTGTGGAACGATATTGTTTAAATTTGGTTTTGTCATGTAATATATTGATATCTCCATCTATTATAATTGAAAATTTTGCTGGGTATAGTAGCCTGGCCTGGCATTTGTGTTCCCTTAGGGTCTGTATGACAACTGTCCAGGAACTTCTAGCTTTCATAGTCTCTGTTGAGAAGTGTAGTGTAATTCTGATAGGTCTGCATTTATAAGTTTCTTGACCTTTTTCCCTTACTCTTAATATTCTTTCTTTGTTTTGTGCATTTGGTGTTTTGACTATTATGTGATGGGAGGAATTTCTTTTCTTGTTCAATCTATTTGGAGTACTGTAGGCTTCTTATACATTTATGGGCATCTCTTTCTTTAGTTTAGGGAAGTTTTCTTCTATAATTTTGTTGAAGATAATTACTAGCCCTTTAAGTTGGGAATCTTTGCTCTCTTCTAAACCTATTATACTTAGGTTTGGTCTTCTCATCGTGTCCTGGATTTCCTCGATATTTTGGATTTGGAGCTTTTTGCATTTTGCATTTTCTTTGATTGTTGTGTCAATATTTTTAATGATATCTTCTGCACGTGAGATTCTCTCTTCTATCTCTTGTATTCTATTGGTGATGCTTGTGTCTATGACTCCTTATCTCTTTCCTAGGTTTTCTGTCTACAGGGTAGTCTCCCTTTGTGATTGCCTTATTGTTTCTATTTCCATTTTTAGATCCTAGGTGATTTTGTTCTAATCCTTCACCTGATTAGTTGTGTTTTCTTGTAATTCTTTAAGCAACTTATGTGTTTCCTCTTTATGGGCTTCTGCCTGTTTACCTGTGTTCTCTTGTATTTCTTTAAGGGAGTTATTTATGTCTTTCTTACAGTCCTCTATCATCATCATGAGATGTGATTTTAAATCAGAGTGTTGCTTTTCTGGTGTGTTGGGGTATCCAGGGCTTGCTGTGGTGGGAGAAATGGGTTCTGATGATGCCAAGTAGCCTTGGTTTCAGTTGCTTATTTTCTTGCCATTTTGTTATCTCTGGTGTTAGCTAGTCTTGCTGTCTCTGACTGGCTTGTCCCTCCTGAAAGCCTGTGTGTCAACACTCCTGGGAGACCAGCTCTCTCCTGGTGGGATTTCGGTATGGAGAGCTGTGGCAAAGGGTCAGCTCCAGACACAGATAGAAAATGGAAGGCAGAGTACAGGTTCTTAAATACTCTTATAATTTTCTGAATTTCTTTGGTTGGAATGTTTCCTAGTTTATTCCTGAATCTATTAATGTAAGTCAATAGATTTAATTAATCATGTAAATGGATTTGAAGACAAAATTACATGATCATCTCAATAGATGCAGAAAAAAAATCTCTGAAAAAATTTCATGATGAATGGCCTACAGATAACAGGACTGGAAGATAGCTCAACATAATTAATATTATATTTCTTATGTCCAGTTAATTGTACAAATGGGTTATTAATTTTATTTATTTTTCTTGAAGAACCATCTCTTAGATTTATTGATTCTTTGATCTGTTTTCTCTATGTCTATTTTATCAATTTCTTCTCAGATTTTTATTAGTTCTTGTCATACTAATTTGAACTTGGTTCTTGTGTTTGTTTGTTTGTTTGTTTGTTTGTTTTTTAATCGTGTTGCATCATTATGTATTTGTGCTCTTTCTGGTTTTTATTTTAAGTTAAATTTAATTTTTTTTTTACTTATTCACTGCCCCCTCAGGGTTACTCCCTCTCATAACCCTTCCCCTACCCCACCTAAGTATCCTCCTACCCTAACACTTGAAGTCCCTGCAAGGCTAAAAGCTTCCTCTCCCCTTCAGGCCAACCAAGGCAGCCCAGTTAATAGAGTATACCTCACATACAAGCAACAGTTTTAAGGAGAGCCCCATTTCCAAATGCTCAGGACTCACATGAAGATCAAGATGCACATCTGCTACATATGAGCAGGAAGACCTAGGTCCAGACTGTGTATGTTCTTTAGTTCATGGTTCAGACTCTGAGAGCCCCAAGCGCTCAGGTTGGTTGACTCTGTGGGTCTTCCTGTGCAATTTTTATCCATTTTGGAGCCGCAGTCCTTCCTTCTGTTTTTCTGTAAGAGTTACCAAGCTCCATCTACTGTTTGGCTTTCAGTGTCTCTATCTATGTGAGTCAACTGCTGGGTGGAGACTCTCAGAGGACAACATGCTCCTGACCTTTTACCCTTAATTGTTCTGGCCCTCAGGGATTCGACGAGACCCTAGGGAAGGGGGCGAAAGAATGAAGGGACAGGAGACACAAAGAATCCGAGCAAGTCTGGAGTTCTGATCAAGCTCTGAAACTTTAATTTAGGGGGCAGGTTATAAAGACACAACAAAACGGGAAATTTAGGCGAGGGTCATTGCTTAGGGCTATCTCACTATTGAATCATCATTGTCTAAGTCCATCCCACTGTCGTTTCCTCATTGCCCAAGACTATCCCACTGTCACATCCTTATTGCCCAAGACTATCCCACTGTCATATTGGGCTCCCAGGAAATGCCAGACATTCTTTAAGTTCCTGGGACCTGAGACCCGCGAATGTCCTTTCTTAATCTTTTACTGACTACACTTTCTAGAACAGCGGGTAATTTCCTGGGTTTGGCTCCTGGCACTTAATATTCTTTCTTTGTTCTGTAGATTTTGTGTCTTGATTATTATGTGCCAAGAGAATCGTATTTTCTGTTCCAATCTAGTTGGTGTTCTGTAAGCTTCTTGCACGTTTATAGTCATCCTTTTTTTTAGGTTGGAAAACTTTTCTTCTATGATTTTTGTTGAGAATATTTTCTGGGCCATGAATCTAGGACTCTTCACCTTCTATTCATATTATTCTTAGGTTAGGTCTTTGCATGCTATCCTAGATTTCTTGGATGTTTTATGTCAGGAATTTTCTAGCTTTAACTTTTACTTTGACTGATGTATCAATTTCTTCTATTGTATCTTCCACACCTGAGATTCTTTCTTCCAGCTCCTGTATTCTGTTGGTGATGCTTGTATTTGTTATTCTTGTTCTCTTCCCTAGGTTTCTATCTCCAGGATTCCCTCAGTTTATGTTTTCTTAATTGCTTCTATTCCACTTTCAGGTTTTGCACAGTTTTATTTATTTCCTTCACCTGTTTCATTGTGTTTATCTGTATGTCTTTAAGTGATTATTTTCCTCTTTAAAGACCTCTATTTGATTATATTTTACTGTATTTCTTTAAGGAATGTATTCATTTTCTCTCTATAGGCCTCTATCATCTTTGTAAGACTGGATTTAAGATCATTTTCTTGTGTTTCAGTTGTGTTAGGATATCCAGCATTTGCTGTAGTGATGTAGCTGTGCTTTGGAGATGTCACATTGTCCTGGCTCTTGTTGATAGTTTCCTTTTTAGGGCCTTTAGCATCTGAAGGGTTTGGTCCCTGGATATTTCTGCTGTAGTAGGTATTGGGAGGGAGACAATCCTCAATGGTCCTGGTGTGGTAGGCCTTTGATAGATATTCTTGGGCTGTATGGTTCTGGACCTGCAGTTCTGTATGCTTCAGGAGCCTCAGGTCAGATGAAGGTAGGCAGAGAGGTGGCAGTAGAATGGATGTCTCCCCAGGATGGCAGGCTGCTCAGGACAGCTTGGCTTGGCACAGAGGGTTCAGAGGGCAGGGAAGATGGGTAAAGGAAGGGACACTTGCCTGTATGATTCAGGATTCTGACAAAGGTAGATGAAAGGCAGGAGACGAATCTCTTTTTAGATTTTACATATAGAAGTATATATATTTACCTCTTAGAGTTGTTCTTAATGTCTTCTAGTGATCATTCTGTGTTGTATTATCATTTGTATTCAGCTTTAGGGATTTGTTCATTTTTTAGTTTCTTCTTTGTCTCATTCATTATTAACTAATGAGATGTTCAATCTCCACAAGTTTGTGTAGCTACTAGAATTTTTTTTTTTGCTGTTTTTTCCCAGGTGTTAAAGCATTATTGTCAGATAGGATATATGGAGTATAACCTATTTCAGTTTTTCTGGCTTAGTTAATATTTGTTTTGTGTTTTAGAGATGTGCCCCTGGGCTGCTGCATAGCATTCATACTCTTTAGTATTTTCATGAAAAATTCTATAGATATCTATTTGATCATTTGATGCATAATGCTATTTAATTTCACCATTTCTTTGTTCATGTTTTTGAAGAACTCAAAAGAAGTAAAAAAAAAAAAAAGACCTAAATAAAAAGCAGGCCATGAATCTAAACAGAGAGTCCTCAAAATAAGAAATAAAAATTATTAAGAAGTAGCTCTTTTAAAATGTTCATCATTACTCCCCTTAGAAACATTGCAGGTGAGTCTACTGTGTCATATGTATGTCAGTAAGTGACAGAGAGGAGAGAGACTATGTCTGTGCTCAGTGTTCCTACCTGTGAATATCTAAATGATCAGTTGCCTAACACTCCCTGAAAAAAAGTGAGCTCGACACAACAACCAATAGGACAGCAGGGGGCCCTACAGGGAGCTGCCTGAGATGACTATCAGTCCAGCACCATGCAGGCCTGGGAGGACAAACCAAGAAATGACCCCTGCCCAGCGCCATAATGCAAGAGTGAGGCATAGCACTTCTGAGACCAACCCTGAGACCAATCCTCAGATGACTCCAGGCATTCAGAGATCCCAGGAGCCACTAAGAGGAACAAATAAGTTGTGGAGAAATGAAAAAGAATGATAAACAGAAGAATGCAGGCACAATGAAAAAAATGCAGAGCTGGAGACTCCAAGGTGGTGAAACAGAGCAAGATGTGAGTAGCTAGTGATGCCACCTGGAACCATGTTAGGACACTGGCCTGTGCTGCCATTAAGGACCGTGTCTGGGTCTGTGGCCCTGAAGCAGCAAGACTCTGTTACCACCAAAGGCTATAAATACATCTTTTGCCTGGGTTGCTGCCAGAGGACAGCTGTGCAAAACTGGTTCCATCCCTCACCTAGAAATCATTAAAGATCTGGCCCTGCAATTATGAGAGTAGGAGAGTTTACCCTGTTCCCAGCCCACTGCAGTACTTGGGAAATCAGCCTGCAGACACATTGCAAGCAGTTGCCGGTGCTAGCCTACCCAAAGTGTATGAAAATGGGAGAGCTGGCTCTGCTACTCATCACCTCTGCAGTGATGTGGACTAAGAAGATATATTCTCCTCACCCCTCACCACTTGAGACATGTAGCAGTCTTATCCATGGGGTCATGAGAGCAGGAGATCTAGGCCTGCCCATCTACAGCTGCAGCACTAGAGAGAGCTGGCCCTGGTGGCAGGAGTTGCTGGCAAGTTGGCACTGAAGTCATTAAAGTAGGAGAGCTGGTGGGATGATCAGCTCAGATACCCCTCAGGCCCAGATTTAGTGATTTGAATTGGCCCACCCCAACATTTATCCCATTGATGAACTTCTGGAGTACATGAAGTGGTCAGTGTTTGCAAAGTCCTGCATGGCTGTGGAAAGAATGGCATGATACAGTTTCCTGTCCCTGGAGCAGAAACAGCAGGATGTGAGTTTCTAGAGTGCTGATGGATGCTGTGGGTGTGGGGCTTGTTTGTATAATAATGTACATTATCTACTTTATGTTCTTCTTTCCAGGAAATGGTCTCGCTGACAGGGTCAATGACTCCATCATAATTAGAAGCAGCACAAGTCTGGGAGGCAATGGTATATCTAATATTCCTCAGCAAAATGGTAAATGCCGTGATATTCAGGGCAGTCCTTAAGGCTGTGGGAAAGAACTCTGAAAACATGAGTTCAAGAATACATAATTTCTCCACTATGCAAAATGTAAAGATGTAATAAGAATTGTACAAGGGGCTTCAGAGACCTAAAAGAACAAAGGCAGCTTCACTAATTAGCCAGAATGCCAGAAAGATACAAAAGCAGGCAAATTTCTAAGTATAATCTCAGCCTGGATAGAGCAAATTTAGGTCCAGGTAGGGTGGAAGTGGTAATCTAAGAGCTAGATCCCATCCAGCTAGCTTATTGTCTGTGCTTCTATATGCCTCTCAGGAAACTCTGAGTGTTTTACAAAAACCCCAGTACTAGATATGAGAATCCCTTTTTGAGTTGTTGGTCAGAGAAATTCAAGAGAATCCTCAAATAATATATACTATTGCTGTTCCACTTAGCTGTTTCCCAAAAGTTGAAGACAAGTCTCTGTTGCTGAAGATAGCACATACTTTAGACACAGAATTGGAAGTAATCAAGCTGGTTCTGGTTAATAAGCCTCTCCCCAGGGACTAACTTTTATAGTTCCAGAAAGTACTATTCAAACTACCAAGGTAGAAAAGCAACTAATAGTCCTACCTATCCATGATGCCTATGAACCACAATGATGACCATCATGGCAACATATCCTGAAAAGTACAATAAAGGCATTCATATCTTGGTGGTAACCAACATCTATTTAAATGGCTTTCAAGACTTCTCAAAAAATGAGAAATCATGCCTAATTCTGGAAGCCTAGCCAACTACCTATGGCTAGTGCATCATGATCTTAGATAAGAACCTTTTAGTCTTATTTTAATAAACCAGCATAATTCCTAACTGTACTCTAAACACATATCCTTATATCTGCATATAAGTATAGTATTCACTGCTCATCAAATAAGTGTCAAATCATCTTTGTATCCAATAGAGACCATTATGAAAACACACACACACATACAAAAACACCAGGTAAAGATGTGGAAAACAACTGACAGTGGACTGCCAAGATTCAATGGATGCATCTACAACACAACCCCTGTACCTAAAACTTAGATGGAGCAGGGAGATTATGAGTCAGAGGACTAGGAAGTTTGTTGTGAGATAAGATGTATCCATGATACCTCAACAATATGGCTGCCAATCAAGACTGAATTTTAACAACACAAGACTGTCTATTGCAAGAAAAGAAAATCTCATGGGGTCCCATCCTTGACAGAAAACTACAGGCAACCGAGGACTGTGAAGAAAGAGAAAATGAACTATTTCCAGGGATGAGCTCCCTAATCCATTTTCCAGATGTAAGTAGTCAGCCCTAAAATCGTATTCATGTA